GGTATGCGGTAGTGTTTGCACAGGGAGGGGAACGAGAAGGGGAGAGGGAGGGGGGGGAGAGAGAGAGAGAGAGAGAGAGAGACTCGCGCGTGCTACGCTCTCGCGCAGCTCCTAGCTGAACGCACCGCCGCTGCGAACGAGACACAGCCTGATTGCAGACCCCGCTCTGTCGTTGTCGGTACCACGCCCTGACCCACGAGATTTTCAAGATACCCGGCACACGACCCACAAGCCCCGCACTTTATGCGGGGTCAACCAACTCGACCCCTCGTCGTTACGAGCGCGATATCGATACAACGGCGCGGCGCAGCGAAACTTTCTTACGACGGTGACGGCACTTAAATACGAATAAAGAAAACGATGGTAAGGATAGCGTTTATTCTAGCCTGCGTCTTGTTTAAAAAATGCACTTAAGAATATTATATGTCGAGAGTTGAACTTCTAAACTGAAACAGTCGCAATATCGAGACAGCTTCGAGTTACAAGCAATTGAAAATTAAGTAACATTGGCGCAAGTTAAAAAATGGAATATTAAGAAATTTCCTTTACAAACGAACGAAGATAAAAGAAATTTGCATTTAATTTCGAATGGACTTTACTTTGACAGAAACGTAATTTCAAGCTCAATTACCAAGATATTTAACTTGAAAAAGTAATATTATGTCTGGAAAGATTTTTATCAAGTCTATTTCAAATCGAACAAAATTATATGTGATCGAGGAAAGAGATAAATAAACGTACGGAAATCAAACATTAAAAATTAAATATTCGACAAAATTACAATGTTGTTACAACTGTGTAAAATAAAATTGTTGCATACAATAAAACTTTATTCGTACTTTTATTCTCTTTGTTATACATATAAAATACGCGATGTAATAAAGAAGAGATGAAAAACGTGCGCGAAAGAAAGTGATAGAGGAAAAGCGTAAAAATAGAAACTCACCCGTGTAGAAGAAAGCGAAGCTTCGGCGTTGTGTTGACGACGCTCCAGTGACTCGTAGTTTTGCCAGTAGTATTTCTGTAACAACAAAATTTGCGATTAGTCCATGGATTGATCGTTACGAGCTATCGATTCGATACTCAAGTCTCTCGAATGTTTGTTTCCGGCAATATTCGCTCGCAATGTATGGCACGCGGTTGAATTTACAGGACGAGCTAAGAAGACCGAAAAAGCAAAACTTTTCACATTTCGCTTTCGAAATCGAAGAAAGCACACATCAAGTGCTGCATTTTGTATCGATACTTGCAAACTCGAAAATATTTTGAAATTATTTCAATCTATGAAGCTCTAAAAAATAATAACAAGTGATTTTAAATGCATTTATGAATTATATATATTAATATCAATATTATACAATACAATTTATTTAGTTCACAAAAATAACATTTTTTAAGTAAAATTTACTAAATAAAGATCCAACTGTCTATAAAAATTGTATTTCCGTTGTCACATCCAATTCTATAATTTTGATACGTAATAATTATTTCATTATTTATTTGATATTATATTAATTAATAATAAGATGTTAGTAAAAGGATTGCTAAGGATTGTTCCAAAATATAAGCGCTCGATGAGACTCCTCTCTAGACTTTAATAAGTAAATATCACGCAAAATGCATTACGATATTTCTGAGAGAGCAATGTTCGAGCGTGACACGGTATGGTGGATTTTAAAAGAGACTGACAGACTGCGGATCCATATATGTACGTATTAGCAGGATAGGACGTATGTCCCGAAATACATCGCGTGTTTGTTCTGATGGCGCATTATTTTCAAAAGTCGTGAATGCCAATCTCCGCGACGCCATGTATCATTTATATGCTTTTAATCTTCATTATGCAAAAATTGACGCAAAAATATGTCGTCAGAAGACAAATAATAATGAGAAATGAAATATTCGATACCTTTGTATACTACATAGGTAGAGAATATTTTTGCTAAACTGAAAAATTTAGCTAGCTACAAATCTAAAAATAATTTTATTGGATTATCAAAATAATTATGCAGGATTCTCAAGCCTGATGAGAGACGCAATGCTTGTGTTTTAATATTTTGACGACCAATTTCAGCGTCCTACATAATTATTCTGATGTTCTAACAAAATTATTCGCAGATCTGATGTTTAAATAAATTTTTAGACACTCCAGTAAACGTATTTTTCCGTGTACCGTAAATGAAATTCGCGTTAAAACTCGATCAATTTTGCGGCACTGACTGATTGTCAGTACAGAACAAGTATCAGTGAACTTGTTCGTTATTCAATATTTCATTGGATAATCTCACTATATTTGGATACTCGCAATTTAACGGGCTCTGTCTCACGAATACGCGAGACATCGTTGCGACTAGATGCGTAAGGCGATGCCGTCGAGGAGAATTATTCCGAGCACCGTGAGCGATATCGAGGAGACGATGGAATTTCCGTCGGCCGGAATTCTTGCTCCAGCCGAGGAATTTCCGGGCTAAAGAAATCGGGAAGTCAGCATACGGCGCGGTACGCGGCGGCGGAGTGATCCATGCATTCCGTCGTTGAAATCGACGGAAGTCGTTTCCAAGCTGTTAACGGGAGTTCGAAATAGTTGGACGAAGAAACCGACAAAACTGACACCCACCCGCCGTGAGCGGTATTTGCAGGCGGAATCGCGTTGCGGCTCGGCTGACCGCGGGCTTCTCCGGAAGTGCCGTATCTCCAAGGCGTGTACATACATACATACATATACCGCGGGGTTAATTCGACAGTTGCCGACGAGGACGTCGAGAATGTTCTCTCTCGGATTCTATCCGAAGTATTCCGAGCATAGAGCGCACCTCCCGTCCGCAAACTGACCGCTAACCGGCGATTTTTGAGGAATCCGAAGGTGACTGACGCGCCGCCTAAGCTCTCCAATCGCTCGATATCGATCTATTCACGGATTCAAGGGAGAACACTGTTCTGACCGCCGAATCGGAACATCGAGAGATAATTCGCTCTCACGTACAGACATGCACACGCACACATTTGCATGAAAATCGATGTCCAACTATTCTGTGGCACGGCGCATTTACGCGCTAATACCAAAGCAGTTAACTTGCTGCTAATATCGTTGATTTTATCCAAAGTAGATAAGACCTTTTAACTCGAAACTTGAAAATGAGCTTGTGACATTTTTGTTTTCTTGCTGTTTCGTTGCCTTCATTGTTTCGCAGTTTAAGTACACGAGAAGAATGGTTTTGCTAAAGTACTTACTTGAAAAAGACACCGCACTAATTTACATGGGAAATTGGGTCTTGGTGAAATGAGTTAGTTTTCACATGTAATACAGCTTTTAATGTGATAAACAGAAATGCCATGAGAGACAAATGTCTAAGTATTGCGAAGCAAATGTTATGATGTTTTCTTCCTCGATATTTGTTAATTATGAAAAAATTTAATTGTGACGACAAAATATATATTTCTGTGAAATACATCTCATTGATTGAAAACAATAAAATAGATGGCTTATTTGCTAGAATAAAGCTTCATTTAGCTTTATATTAAATAAAGATTTATTCATGAAATAAGTATATTTCTCTCAAATAAATTTTTAAGTATCTTCTTCTCAATGTAGATATAAGATTCAATAATGGATAGTTTTTGAACCATGATGTATAAAATATCTACACGAAGACACAAGTTTTTTTTTTTACTTTTGATACATCACAGCTAAAAAATTATCCATTATTGAGCCATGTGTATCAATAATATCTTTCGTTCACATTATTATACCTTTATATTATATATATGTGAAAACTAACTCATTTCACCGGGACCTAATATTTTTTACATAATTAGTGCGGGTAGTTTAAATAGATATGGATCTGAAAATAATTCTGTTGGACTATTAAAATAATTATGTAGAAAATTCAAGCATGATGAGCAATGCTGTAAAAAGTTTTGACATTCTAGTAACCAGCTTGAGCGTCCTTCATATTTATTTTGATAATCCAACAAAATTATTTTCAGATACGTATCTAACTAAATTTTTAAATATTTTAATTAAAGCCGTTTTTTCCGTGTATGATTAAATCCATAAATCATTAAAAAATATAGGTGACTTGGGACAGCATGTACTGTTATTAAATTTAATCGTGGCACCCATGTGAGTCACTAAAGAAAATTTAAAATTTAAACTTTCTTTAGAGACTCATGAATAGATATCACGATTAAATTTAACAAAAATACATGCTGTCCCAAGTCACCTATATTTACGGTATAGATATCTATTTCGAATTTTTCTCAGCATATATATATATATATATAAGTTATATATAATTATAATACAAAATTGGATCGATAAGATAAAATTAAATAAGAGAAATCCTATATTTAATCAAAGCGCACCTTAATATTTCTGTGTGAATTTATATATCTGATTCAGCAAATTGCGCGACGAGATTTTTTTTCGGTTTTGAAACGTAATATTTGCTCACAGGAGCAAAACCAGAATAGTAAATAAATAAATTATACATATGTATATATTACATTTTTCTTTATATTATCACTTTAACTTCACCTCTTTAAAATTAATATGTTGATGAATGGAGAGCGAAAAGATTTTTATCTATGCAATTTTAAGTTATGACTTTTTTTCGTGCTTGAAAAAAGTGGATAAAAATTTACACTCGTGCAAACGAAAAAGCTATTGGGGTTATCTCTCTTATTTTCGTTTTAAAAAGGCATGTATGATGACGCAGTCTAAATTTTTTCGAAATTGCGAACAAATTTTTTCCAGCATATCGCACACGTTCACGTTAGTCAAACGAAACTTTATGATGCATGCCCGGTCTTAATTAAGCTCATACATCTCCTTGGATGCTCCTCTTGAAAAATATTGCTAAAGTTTCATTCCAACATTCATTATACTTTAGTAATACGCGCTGCTCTAACGCTTTGACGCGTTAGATAGTCAAAATGATCAAATTCTCCGCGTTGTTGAAAATTCTCACATTATATCTTCAGATGGACACGTTAAGTCAATTATAATGTGCATCTCCTATTTTTCAATTCCAATCGCGAAACCTGTGTCAGAAGCGGCATGAATGATAGGGGGCACGTGAAAACGGGAATGGCGAATTATAGAGCGCGAAAGAAAGCGCCCTCGACTTGCGGAGAGAGCATCGAATGCGCGTTTCCGTTGTAATTCGAGTGTGAAACTACAGGAGGAAACTTCCTCCCCAAGACATGTATCTCGGTCTCCGAGATAACGTACAGTCATGTCGTTTGTCACAGAATCTCGCTACGCACGACCCCGTCCTTGTGCCCGCATCTTCCGTAAGCCCGTACGTTTCCAGTTACTGCACGAAGATCAACTCCAATGCGCATCATTAAAGAATTTCCAGCTGCAGTCTTATGACAGATATATTTCTTAACGTGTAATTTAACTTCAATCGATAAACCCCCCAAAAGCTTTTATCATATTCGTGTACATGTAAGGGGGTAATATAATTTATCTCCGAAATAAAATTAACATTTACTGCAATTATTGATAAATATTAATCAACGACGTTTTGTTTCTACTGAAATATAATAATATTTTAGTATTGCATAAAATATAGCGGGTAAACGAATATTCAGATTTTTATTATTTAATCATATTATTTATTAAAGTTTATAAATTTGAATGTAAAATCGAGACTAAGTTTCTCATATTTTCAATATATTGAGATAAAAAAAAATGGACTTTTATAATTTCAATTTGATTAGAAAAAGATACATATTACACTACTTAAAGATAGCAATTAAAAAACTAGTCCAGTGTTAACAATGACAATTTCACGTTAACGCGTGAGCGAAGAAATTCCGAATCAAGTCTCTAAACATGAGAAATAGTAAAAGTACGTGAATTCATGTATCATGTGAAAGCCACAAAACAACATGGAAAACAACGTCGATATGCACGACTGAAAAATTCCAGCAGACGTGAAGCAAATTCGTGGGCGCCGCGTATCTGCTTATAATTCGAGTGTAAAATCGCAAAATAACGCGACGAGAAATTCC